AACCTGCCGGGGCACTTTTGATCGATCAAGGGATTCCTCAGATTTCCACCCCGTCACCCGAAAGGATGTCCGCGTTGTTACCGCGGGCCGCATATGTTGACCTGCCGGGGTGTTCTCGGCTGCTCAGGTGCCCTTCACATTGGTCTCGAGTTCTCTCCGGTTGCTCAGGGGGCTTCCTGAGACACTCGATGCTCAGGGGTCCTCTACAATGGTCTGGTAGTCCATTTAATATCATTTTCGAAGGACTCTGCACTATTGTCGGGGATTTTTACGCACAATTGAGAACAAGTCTGCAAACTTGCCCCGGCCATCTTGATCGCACACGGGGTGACGGGGTGACGGGGTGACGGGGTGACCCACCACACGGGGTGACGGGGTGACCTACCACACGGGGTGACGGGGTGACGGGGTGACCCACCACACGGGGTGACGGGGTGACCCACCACACGGGGTGACCCACCACCGGGTGACGGGGTGACGGGGGTGACGGGGTGACGGGGTGACCCACCACACGGGGTGACGGGTGACGGGGTGACCCGGGGTGACGGGGGTGACCCACCACACGGGGTGACGGGGTGACGGGGTGACGGGGTGGCCCACCACACGGGGTGACGGGGTGACGGGGTGACCCACCACACGGGGTGACGGGGTCCACACGGTGGACACTTCCTATTTGCTCCGAGGACACCGCTCTGTTGTCGCGGGCCATATGCACTTAACATGGTATATGTTATGTAAAGACACTCTTGGTTGCTCCGGGGCCCCCAGCACTGATCCTGGGCTCTTCCCTTTAGGTCAAGCGGACCTTACTCTGATGCCGAAAGTCCCACATGTCTTTGCGAGCGTCGGGCTGTTTCGCCTGGTTGCGTATACGGGCCCGGCTGAATCCATTCATGTGCAGTAAGTCCGAGATCTACGCGATGACGATTTCCCTTGATGCCTTAGCAGCAGACAGCAGCTGCCAGCAGGCGCATGATTTCCGATGATTTTTTTGCGCGCAAGGGATCTTTTTACGCGCGACTCAAACCATATTCAGAATGTGATGCACAGCTATAGGAGCGTTACAAATTCAACAATCAAGGTACATGCAGCGTGCGACGCCGAGGGCGTGTAGCAATATAATGAGAAATTAATATTATATATAATTAGTGTTATATAATGTTATGACCAACACAATGTTACGTGCCGTCTAAGTCGTACGCTTAATTTACTTCGGTTGTTGAATTTGTGACACTCATGTTGTGCATGACATTTTGAGCATGGTTCGAGTGCTAGTATGTTTTTCCTTTCCTTTATTATAGTGGAAACAAAAGCTCTGCACTACAGGCATTAGCCATCAGCTGATCAAAACATCGGCTACCCGGCTAGCCACCGAAAGCCGGTTAGCCACAACCAGCCCTGGGAAAAGCGTCAAGCTTGATTTTGATGACACTGAGCGGCCCGCTTTGCCATATGCTTTCGTAAATACTTAGCATCAAAATGGTGGGATCCGTTATGATCTGGGCAAACTTAACGCGCTTCATTTGTGTACACACGCCTATATTTCTAGAGTTGCGCACGGAAAGGTGGGCTCCCCACGCAGACAGCAAACATGAGAGCCATACAAGATAATGGTCGAAATCCCGTCATGCCTTTGGATGCGGTCTCGAGCTCCAGTGACCCGCGATGTTCAGTGGCCATCCCCTGATAAAATTATGGATCCGCCATTGGGGGCGCATGCTTTTGTCACTACGGGGAAACAGGCTGCCAGCTACTATGCCACTGTACCTCATCCACCAGGCTGGGATAATATGTCTCACTGCCTCAATTAAACAGTTGCATTGCTCGACAGCCACCGGCGTCAGCTCAAAGTGGTTATCTATGCATGCGTTTCCAGTAAAGCGTGATTGCGCGTTTTTAGGTGTCGTACGGCATGCTATGAAAATGCCGCGGCGGTTAGGCATCTGAGGTTCTGACCAAATGTATACTCATTGGACAAGAAGCACGTGGTTGAAGTAATACTGGGTTTATGCGCGGGAGATCCCATAAAAACCGGAGAGCGGTTACCACCCAGTCGTGGCTTGGCCGTCCCTGACCTGCTAAGCGCCCTCTCCATGTCAATAGGCACGTATCTCGCTGAGTAATGCTGACCAGGACCGGTATATTGGTCCCTCGGCATATAATTCCTTTGCGTCATGTGCCGAACGACTGGCAGCGTTCCAGGTCTGACAGGTCACGCTAGCGAGCTGGCGTCAATGGGCGTCGCTGGCGGCGCGGCGGTCCGCACCCCTCGAATAGGACAGCGCGTCCGCACCTCTCCAGGAACGGAGCTTCGATCAACATGTTTACACCTCCGCCAGCCGAATTCCAACAGCGGACAACGCTTCCCTGAGGGCGATCTGATCAGCCCCTGATGACTTTAGCGGAAATTCCGCTGTTATCTGCGGCACGCCCTGACGCGCTGCCGTTCCCACCTAACGTGCACCGGACGCGGTGAATGGCCAGGATTGCCGCTTCCGCAGCGCTCGGGTCGTCAGCTGATGACGGCCGTGCCGCTCCGGGCGAGGACGGTGCCGGCGTCGGCGGCCGGGCGTGCCTCGGCCGCTCGGCAGCAAGCCACCGTCGGCGTCGGCCCTGAACCTGACCCGGCCCGGCGCCCTGGGCCTTGCGGTTTGCGTGCGCTTGCCACGCGCTGCACGCCGCGCGCGTTGTTTGGCAACCCAAGTCACGACCGTCCCACGGCGCGGCCGTCCCATAACAGACAATAAACACTACCGTAAGTGCTCGGAGTGTGACGGACGACCTTGGCAAGGTCAGACATCGTTTCGTGAGAGAACAACACCTCATGCGTGGGTGACATTCGGCCGGAGCCGTGCGAGCACAAAGAGCACGGATGCGCGGCTAGCTGTGTTTGCGCACCGCGCGCGCTTAGAGGGCATGCGTTAATTTTTCTGGCATCCGGAGAAAAAAAAAACGGATAGCAAAAGTAGAATGGAAAAAGCCGAGGGGCTACTTCGAACGAGAAAAAAGTGTTCAAGGACCAAAATTAAATCGGAATTATTTAAGGACATGCCACTAGGGATACAAGTCGACGGAGATACAGATGGTAACGAAAAATTCGAAGCACGAAACAAAATTATGACAAACGTCAAAAGGGATAACAGTCGACAGGGATTAAAATCGAATGGGAAAAATCGAAGGGGACAAATGTCGACGGGAATAATAACAAAACAAAAAACAACACAGACGCTGCACCAATGGGAACCCAATCACTGGCGGGAACAATAAACTAGAGCCTGAGTCCGCGAAAAGCCGATGGGAACCAGAAACTAGGTTCTATCATTTTTGAAGGAATCGGTGGGAACCAATGTCTCATATTTGTATTTATGGAAGAGTGGGTATCAGGAACCAGAGTAGTGTTGGCAAAACAGCCAGTAGTATCTAGGAACCAAGAGTTTGATGCCTGTGGGATAAACAGACAGTTTGAAGGATTAAAATCTCGTTTTCAGAAGTGGAAATGGGAACTAGAATTGTTCATCCTGACGAGTTTTGTTATTGTTATAAATTTCCACTTACGATGTTGCACATATAATGAGGCAGTAATGTTACTGAGAAGTGGGCTGTTATACATTTTTGACATCAGCACGACAGTCCAGTGCTGGCTTTGCGCGTTGACCATTTACATTAGTCCAGATGTTATTGCGCATTTCATTGTACACAGACGTCTCTCGGGTCGCAATGGCATGCTAAATCAGCGCGTACATGCACCAACGTGACCGCGCATCAGCCGCGTTACGCTTCAGCGAGCCCGGTCGGTAGGTCGCTGGTTATCCCTCTCCTGGTCAGGTGCGAGTGTTGTCTCCGGTTCCGCGGCATGCTTATCTGTGGCTGACCGGCGTACGGCACGGTGACGGGGCACAGATTTACACAGAGCACAGATTTACACGGAGCACAGATTTGGACAGAGCACAGATTTGCACAGAGCACAGATTTGGACAGAGCTCAGATTTACACAGAGCTCAGATTTGGACAGAGCACACATTTGCACAGAGCACAGATTTGGACAGAGCTCAGATTTGCACAGAGCACAGATTTACACAGAGCACAGATTTACACAGAGCACAGATTTACACAGAGGACAGATTTGGACAGAGCTCAGATTTACACAGAGCTCAGATTTACACAGAGCTCAGATTTGCACAGAGCACAGATTTACACAGAGCTCAGATTTGGACAGAGCACACATTTGCACAGAGCACAGATTTGGACAGAGCACAGATTTGCACAGAGCACAGATTTGGACAGAGCACAGATTTACACAGAGCACAGATTTACACAGAGCACAGATTTAGACAGAGCTCAGATTTACACAGAGCTCAGATTTGCACAGAGCACAGATTTACACAGAGCTCAGATTTGGACAGAGCACATATTTGCACAGAGCACAGATTTGGACAGAGCACAGATGTGTACAAAGACAGATTTGCACAGAGCTCGGATTTGTATACAGCACATATTTGCACAGAGCACAGATTTGCACAGAGCACAGATTTGGACAGAACACAGATCTGGGCAGGGCTCGGATTTGCACAAAGCTCAGATCTGTACAAAACACAGATTTGCACAGAGCTCAGATCTGCACAGAGCACAGAGCCGTCTTTCATAAGATTGGCTCAGCTTGAACAAATCTTCTCCGACGGTTGAAGACACTCATCGTCACAGGTCATGGTTCGTGGACCCTAATGGCAATTACTCGCTGTTCGCTCCGTGGATCCGTAAATTAGCGGTGCAATTGAAAACAACGGCGATGCGCGGGGACATCAGTGTTAGGTCCAGAGCCGCGTGCCGCTTTATTTGACAATGAGGATGATTTGAGGTTGAAGGTAGGTGGGCTGTAGTGGAGATACAAAGGTACATATTTGAGCAAGAAGTCATTGCATTTTCTGGTTTTATTTTTTAAGGTAATACGGCATGATGACGGCAAGATGAGGCATTGCTGAGCTTGAACATGACCGGCAGCTTATTGGATGGACCGCCGCTCCATCATACAGGGATCCCGCCAGGATGGGTCGTCAGCCGGCCACCGACCATTGGATGGGCCGCCGCTACATCATACAGGGATCCAGCCAGGATGGATCGTCAGTCGGCCACGGACCATTGGATGGGTTGCCGCTCCATCATACAGGGATCCAGCCAGGATGGGTCGTCAGTCGGCCACCGTCAGTCGGCCACCAGGGATTGTGACGCTAGGATGCTGGCGATCGTTCTGAGCGGCATAATTGCTTCGGTATCATAGGTACAATTTGGACTGACGTCCAAGAAAACGTTGCCTCATGCGCTTCACACACATGGCGACAACAAAAGTCAGCGCTAAGCTGACGAGGTCTCCTCGGCACTGGACACTGGGATGCCACCGGAAAATAATTAGTGCCCTTAATGGAACGTTGAACTGGAACCAAGGAAAAACACTGATGAAAGGCACTGTCTCCCAATGGGACGACGACCAAGAAGCGGCGGGGACGTTTTTTAGAAACAAAATTACCTGTTGAAATACCTTTACAAACCAAAAGGTGACTGGAAAGCAGCCCTGACACCTTCGAGAAACGCCCACACGCTTTAGACGGACGCACACGAGAAAGGCAAGTCACAAGGCTCATTAAGAAAAGTCGGCCAGTCTGAGATATTAAAGGCATCAGAGGCCCCATTTAGTTTTTAACAAGGCAAGACAGTCGCAGTGTAGATAAGTAAAGAAAAACTCAGAAAACTGTGCAAAAGAACGGGCTTTGAAACATGGGAACTGGGGGAGGCCTGATGAAAGGGTTTGAACAAAGAGCTGCCTTCGTACATGACAATACTCCTTTCTACCCGGATAAGCCAAATACGGTCGCAAATTAGGGTTTTATGAAAAAAAAAACTGAAGAACATTTCTCACCCAGCAGCAAATAGGGTACTCACGAGACACTCGTGGCGACAGCACTCTTTCGACAACGCCGTCCAGCGGCATGGGCGAGCCACTCGTGAAACGGGGAGCAGTAAGCGCACGACACTTATCAGGAAGAGTGCGCACCGAGGTTCGAATGGCTCGTTAACACCAATGCCCCAGAGGTGACGAGGGTATGTCTGGTACGAGGGTATGACGACGGTATGTCTTGGTACGAGAGTACGCCGAGGGTATGTCTCGGTACGAAGGTATGGCGAGGGTATGTCTTGGTGCGAGGGTATTACGAGGGTATGGCTTGGTACGAGGGTACTACGAGGGTATGCCGGACTTGGTCACCGAACGTCACGCAAAGCCGTGCAAGGGGTTCTGAAAAGGATGAAAGTCCCTTTCGTTTCGGGAGACGATCATCGCTGCTCCCGAGGTGGGTCATAGGTATACGGTGGAAGATCAGGAGGCGTGCGACAGAGTCTGATGAAAGGCGGCAAGATGAAGCTGTTGCTAGTAGCCAATGGAGAGCACGCAGTTCTCACACATATACAGAGCATACCTTAAAGGCACGTGGCAAAATATGCTGCTTATCCCTTGCTCGGCACCATTCATTAATGCAGTATGTTTTTTGCTGCAACTTTCTACAATCTTAGTTCGATGCCTATTTATTTATGTAGGCCTAATATATATTTATACATAGATATTCATATATGCCTATTTATTCATGTAGGCCTGTTCTAGGGCCTGTCTCCTTGTGGACCTAATGTCTGCATGGACTCCGAAGCTGTCGTAATCCCGGCGTGGATTCCAAAGCTGGCTGTCGTAATGTCTGCGTAGACTCCGAAGCTGTCACACGGACAATCGTTGCGTAGCGAGTAATTACATTCTTCGAAGAATATGCATTTAGACAGCGCGCATGTCAGAGCTGGTATAGTCCATCGCAATTCGGAAATGCTCCCCTGGAGATCATATTTAATCCATTGCCATTGGGTTCATGCGTTAACAGTGCATGTGTATTTGAGCCAGTGTGCACAAACATCGCCGCACGTACACATACAGCACATATGATTACGCCTCAGTAGAGACAGGCATGTGTTCCAATCAGCGTTTCTTAGCAGCAGCAGGACATAGTAACCTCTGAAAGTGTTCGTTCTCACACCTTAAGTGTAAAATGTTCCATTTGACCCTTCGTGGGCTGCATAGCGCCCAATTAGAAGTGCTGAACTGCAGCAGGTTGCATGTCAAATAACTAGGGGCAACGATCCCTTTGACACGGCTTGGCGCCGTGCCAAGAAACGACACGAATTTGCCATGGACGGTTCGAAAAACTCTTTGCAAATGATCAACAAAATAACGGAACCTCTTGCGTGAACTGCACCAACATCAATTCAGGTAAAACAGTCGGTGACCTTGTGGGGCAGCTATCAGTCACTTAAATGCAAGAACTCGGGTGAACGACCAAGTTCCTTTTCCGTTACCCGTGACCACCAGGTAACGTGGAAAGCATACCTCACACATGTCTAACTCTACAGCAGCGACATTGTTAAGCCCCCCCCCCCCTTTTCGCTCTCTCTCTCTCTCTCTCTCTCTCTCTGTCTCTCTCTCTCTCTACTCCTTTACACTCGCGTTGCTCCACTCGTGCAGCCAGTGCGGTGTCAGGGCGGGGGTGGCATGGTCCGAATACGATCCGGGCACGCCTGCGGGGCGTCCTCTGCGGGGCCTCCTCTGCGGGGGCCTTTCTCCGCCCGCTAGCGGATTTTCACCCGGATCAGGGCGCAGGTCACCACCTCGTTGGTGTCGGCGTCCACCAGCAGGTACCTGACCTGCACGTTCGGGATCTGCAAAGAGGCCGGTGTCAGCTCCGAGGTCCTGGAGCCATCTCCACACAGGACTGACACAAGGGGCACACGGTCGGGTGATCACACGCAGGGCTCACACGGTCGTTTCACCTCGTAATAACCCTCCCGTAAGCGTGCTCTCAGCACCCAACACAGAAATGGCGCGCACACGTTGACGCTGCGGCACGTCCAACATAGAGACGATCTTGAACTCCGGGAGACGAGCTATCATTGGTTCAAGCTACATTCATTGGTTCTGGTCACCACTGGTTCCAGCTACATTTAGGGCCAGCGGACACACCTCGGCGAGGCGTGCCACGCGGTCGACTGCAGAGGTGATTCGATGACCAGCGCGGCGCCGATTGGCTGCACGCTCCAGCAATGTTGGTGCCTGTGCTAACGGGATGGTCTGTAGCCAATACGATCTGTGGTCTTGAGGTTTTCTAAGCCACCTATGAGACGGCGTAATTATCCGCGGGGCTTATTTTTAGCTGGCATGTGCTTTATCCGCAGCTGGCATGTGAGGAATGACGTGAAATGGCATGACATGAAAATATGCAGCATGACGTCAATACCCTAGTCGTATTCTCGTCTCCAGAGACGGAAGGAATTTTCAGCCTTTTCAGAACCCCTTGCACGGCTTTGTGTGACATTCGGTGACCAAGTCCGGCATACCCTCGTCATATCCTCGGCATGACATGAAAAATGGTGGCATAAAAACGAGGCGATCGGCTCGGACTTTGGCACCTCGGATTCTTCAGAACCTATTGCGGTCATCTGTGGTGTTACAAAAGGCTTTTGAGTGTTTTGGAACACTTTCCTACGACAAAACATCAGGCAGGCTTGGGACCACAGATGGTGCAGCTTGACACCATGACGTCAGTAGCATTTCCAAAGCAGATCCACTGAAGACGCCTGAGAAATGGTTTAGCCCTCCGTCAGGGCAGCGCCTCGGTCTCACCGCGTTCCGCGGGAACCGGCATTTTATGTGCCGTCTGCACGAGAGGCCCGCGGCTGGAGATCCGCGACACACGCTTTTGACGGCGACTCGCCCGGCCTTAACATTCGGTGTTTGGAGCAGATAAGGGACGGGCCCGGCGTCGACGGCAGGTCTGGTGTGCTCCGCGCCGGGCAGAGCAGCCGCCCCGCGGGAGGACGCTCTGCCGCAGCGCCGCGGCCAGCTGGCACACTGGCTGGCCATGACCGATCTCCGGCCGCGGCGCTGCTCCACTCACCGCCGGGTAGTTGTTGTGGACGGGGATCTCGGCGCGGTAGACGTACTGCTGGCCTTGCTGCAGGGGGCAGTTGCCCTGCACGAGCGAACCGCACGCGTTCGATGGCACGCCGGCGAACGGCACTTCCAACCCGAACACCACGCCCGACACCTTCGTCTTGAGCCGTTGGTGCGGTTTATCTGCCGGCCGGCGCACAATTTCTGCACGTGCACTGGCACGAGAAAGTACTGCTTCTCGACTGAATACACGGTGCAACTATTGGTTGATACAATGCTTTTTAAAAGATGCATTGATGATCAATATACAAATAGATCCTATAATCATATGTGATAACAGCATATCCATGCCTCTATGTTTTGTTTAATAAAAAAATGTATAACCAAATAGCGATCTTGGTCAGCTGGTACAGCGATAATGTCAAGTAAGCCTCACTTTCAACCTGTTTGCATACTGGGAATAAACGTTGCTTTTTGCACGTGAAGTGAGAGCTTTTCTCGTTGGTTGCAATCACGATGCCAGGGCTATAGTTGATGGCATATTTCAGCTATTTCACGCAAATTTTCCTCAAAATGATGACAAAAGCTTAAGTTAAATATGCTGTTCAATTTGTCGTTATTTGATTACGTCATTGTACCTTGCACATACTAATCGAGAGCCAACTGACGGCAGTTGTATCCAAAAATCGTGCTTACGGACGACAGATGTGAACGACTCGACAATTATATTTCGTTTGACCTTGATCACCGCATGGTTAACGGAATGACAGGATCTAAATGGCGTTATTTTAGTGCCAAAGTGCTGGCGTGACCTTGAAATAGTCCTTTTGAAATAGTCTGCTCATTTTCGCGGGTGTGTAGCTCCGAAACTAGAGGCGCTTAGGTCTTAAGAAGGAAAAGCTGTGAACTGCATCGAATGATCTTCAACACGCTATTTCAGTTAAAACACCAATACAAATGTTAAATGCTCCCTCGAATTATTTGACAAATAATTTCGTGCTCACCAAAAAGTGACATGACATTACCTCGTGCTCCCCGCAATATGCTACGGAACTTAAGTGTTCAGTGGGATACAGTTGTATTCCATCAGATGATAAGCTCCAATGATCTACCCTTATCCAGCACATTGCAACTGTGTGTCCTGCATCTTTCCAGCTATTTCAGCCCTGCTATGATAAGTTGCTGCGGTCACTGACCATCAGTGCGTCTTACATACGAAGCCGATGATCAAATTCTGTTCTTGCCTTATTCTAAGACGTTTCCAAATTCCTTCAGCCTGGAATAAGCGGTGTGCACTTACCGGGGCGGAATGTGATGGTGATTCCAGTGCTGGTGCCGCGACGAAGGGTGCAGATCTTTCCTCCGCAGTTGTCTACCCGCACATCTGAGGATGGCACCAGTGCAGCAACAGTCAAATGGTGCAGGTCCACGGGGCCACTCACATCATGAATCACGACCCTGACTGGTGAAGATCGGTGGTTACGTCTTGCAGGAAAGAAAAATGCGACCTGTCTGCCGTTTTAGTTTGACGACTTGGTGTGGCGAGCTCCAACCGGTGACACAGCAGATTGGCCGATGCTAATACTGTTTGAAAAAGTTAATTACACACACACACACACATATATATATATATATATATATATATATATATATATATATATATATATATATATATATGTATATATATATGTGTGTGTGGTGTGTGTGTGTGTGTGTGTGTGTGTGTGTGTGTGTGTGTGTGTGTGTGTGTGTGTGTGTGTGTGTGTGTGTGTGTGTGTGTGTGTGTGTGTGTGTGTGTGTGTGTGCGCGCGCGCGTGCGTGTGTATGTGTGTGCACTAGTGTGTGTGCGTGTGTGCATGCGTGTATTCGCGTGTGTGTCTGATTTCTTAGGTGCACCATGTTTTCCTGACCTCTCATTCACCTAAAAATATCGGAGGGCCGACAGCGGGAGGGACATGTTGCATCGCATCAGGCTGCCCGGCTGTATCCAATGAGCAATACGCGTTCATGTTTGACATTCGGCAAATAGCTAGCAGCGCATATGCTTATCTACGAGTCACGTTCATAATCAGGATTATAAGTTAAGATGAGAATTATCCCCCGCAATTACATGCAGCCCGTATTTGCACAATAACCGACCTCACCATTCTTTTGGCCCCCGCCCAAACAGCTTACGGTAGAGACGTTGGCAAAGCAGAGTTCATCCCTTTTAGCTTATTAGTCTTTTTACTGAGCAATTTTCCATTGATGGCAGAAGGTCTGGACGGAGGGTGATAGAAGGAATGTCATGAAGGACTGTCAGAGGGAATGTGGGGCTATTTTCTCCCGGATGCGTCCTGCTGGCCCGAACGAGAAGAATGTGAACATGAATAAGCAGACAATTGTCGCTGTCGCCCATAGTGTAGTCGTCGCCACGAGCCTGCGGAAACGTTGCATGTCCATACTCCGACTGCAGCGTGCGTGACGTCTACAGGCACTCTCGCATTGAAGTGCGCGGTTACGGGACAGTGCCCCGGTGTAGATCGAGCCGAGCGTCCACCACCGATCAGTGATGCATCACACGTCTCTGGGATTGGGGGACAAATCAGGATTCGAGAGGTCAAACTTGAATCTGGTGGTGCACTCTGACCAGAAAGTTACGTTTTCAATGGGAAAACGTGTCAAAACGCACATTTCACGGGCAAAGTTGGAGGAGGCAAAAACTCATTTGAGAAAATTGGAGTGGGGAGCATGCCCCCTCCTAGAGCCCCATTGGTTACACACATGGCCAGAACTACATGCGGTTACCTTAGAGAGCGCTTATTATTAACACGCAAAGAGCACCTGATGCGTAAACTGGGCATTGATTACTGTCTGAAGGTGTGAAAAAATGGTAAAGGACAAGACCGAACAGCATGGTCTGCCATCACTGGTATTTTTGCTCGCCTGATGTTGGCTTGTCATTACAGACTTGCCATAAACAACTGTGCTTCAGCACGGTTAATGTGTCTTGAACGGCTCACAATCCCACACCGCGCCTGTAATGGCAACCATCACCTGTCTGTCACCACACTGGACAGCGCGCTTGCGATGAGCCATTCAACACTGGTTAGCGCCCGGTCGCCTATCACCCGATCACTGACAGCGGGTCGGGAGCCGGCACCGGCGCCGGTCACTAACACCAGCGTCCGTGCAGTGCGCACCTTGTCTGTTGGTCCCACACTTGGCGGGGGATTGGCCGGCGGCGGCCGCCAGCAGCGCGAGCAGCAGACAGCAGCGGAGGGGCGGCATGGCGACGACTGGCGGCCGGGCCGGCGCGCGGCCCGTTTTACACAGGCGCGGCCAAGGTGAGGCTGCAGCCGGCGCCGGCACCGCCAGAGATCGGCGCAACGGCGCTGGCCGCCAGGCACCGGAGAAAGCTCGCTGCTCGCTCTGACCTGGCCGAGCGCTGCCCGCTCTGGGACGGCCCCTGACACGGCCGCGCGCCACCCGCTTTGGGACGGAGCACGGCCCCCGGTCGGCGGTGGTCGGTGGGTCGATCGGGACGCGTGACCGGGAGAGTCGCAGCCACGCGGACCGACGTCGCCCGCAGTCCCGCTCGTCGTGAAGAGGAGCACGGTCTCGTGGCGATGCTTCCATTGGTTGCGTGGTGATGAGGATGTGACATGCGAGTAGCCCAGTCTAGCCAAACGTTCAGCGTGCGCATATAGCCCTTGAATGTTGAAATGCCGTAGAAAAGGGCAATAATTTAGCCCCTAAACGTACGCAATGCAAGGTCATCAGCGTAAGCAATGTTTGGAGCAAAAAAATCCGCTTAACTACAAATAGTTTTGATAACTTGACGTCGCAGCTGCTGCTAGTCATTAAACGACAGCAGCATTGGTAAGCGATGGCCACTGTAGCTGCCCGCTGCTCGGACCGTTACGAGAACGACTTGCGCGAGGCAGTGACATTTTTTAGTACCATTTGAAAACAGGTTCTGCCAATATCAGCTCGTGCGAGGTTGTCGTTACGCCCCGATGCCGCCAGCTGGTACCATTACACACCAAATAGAAAGGGTCACACAGGTCACGTGGCGACCTTGAAGGCGCGTCGTGTTTCTCCAGAGATACCTGCCCCGAAGCCGAAGGAGTTATTTCTTCACGCTGCCGGGGCACGTAAGCGGGATGCGGGGCCCTCCACAAACCTTGGCCAGCATGGGCCAACGTTCAGAGTGATTGAGATGCAATAGTCTCGTTCAGCAAAACACTCGATAGGAGACACAACAACTTGCGGCATCAACGAACGCTGAGAGCTCTTCTGGGTTCTTCACGGCTGAGAACCTGCGCGATGTGCCTCTTTAGCGCCGTCACAAGGCCATCAATTTAGTTCGTTAGTTGATTGATGTAATAGTGAATTTCCAGCTGGTTATTGTATTGTTCAAAAATGCAAGCAAGGGGTGGATGTGACTGAAATCATGATCTCGTCGTCACAAGTGCAGTGCCTACAGGCGTGTAAGTTGCAAGTAATTGGTAATATTTTATTTAATGTATGCCCATACTCGTGAAACTCTTGAAACTAATTTTGTGGAAATGAGAAATGAGTAGTGGTATGTGTCATGTTGAAGTTTTGCACATAACTAAAAACGTTGTTCATTACTGTAGCTTTGCGCATCATCTTTGAGCTGTCTTCAGATTTAAAAAAAAAAGATTTCACAAAAACATAAACGTTGTCCAGGCCACGTACTGTGTATGAATAAGCCGTGGATCAATGGGCTGGAGTACTTTATAAGTTGGGTAAACTCATGGGTACCCAAATCAAATGGGTAATAGCTTGGGCCGGCGGTACAGATTTGGCAAAATCACGGGTATGGGTTTGGATATGGGTGACACGGTTACAACGTGTCAGGTAAGTACCTCAAGAAATGCTGCGCAATGTTTCTGCCTACGATTCTTTCAGTTCTAACTATCTCGATGCGCAATACTTTTGCAATTAGCGCAAAAGGGCAAAACACGACCTGAAGCTATTTCATAATTAAACTAAAATGCTTGGAAAATGCTAACAGATGGATAATAGATGGGTTCACTGGGCACAACTGATCAGGAATAGATGACCAGGATATGGGCGCCATCTCAGTTCACATACAGGCAAATGGATCTAGTCAAGACATCTTGCCCATGAAGGTCTCTGTCAGCTTCTCCCCAAACAAGCCACTTCAGGACAAACTTCAAGCGGCGTTTGTGGCATCATTTCGCGTCGAGTCAACGTTTGCTTCGGCAATAGTCAACATTTTGGGGCAGATACCATCAAGTATCTCAGCAGTGTATTTCCGAAAAAGCCAAAACTGCGACTACGATTCACATTATATCTTTTCCTGAATTCGGACGTCGCCTCGTGTATGGCGGAGCCCAATGCCACGATGCCTTGACGTCACGCGCGTGAGGGAGCTCGACCGTGGCGGCGGGGCAGCTCCCGGTGGCGAGCGGCAGACGGCTCTACGCCGCAAGCGTCACAGTGATGTAGCCGGTATAGTATTTGACCTCTTTTCGACGGTCGTAAGCATGCTAGAACTAGTTCAAGCATTTACATTTTATGTACAAGTATCAATACGTAAAACGCGTATTTTCTCTGTCATCCCATCGTTTTCTGAGATAAATTTATGAAGGTGATGTTCAGAAACTTTGAGTTTGCCAAACTTGTGAATTCAAATTCCATTGTGGAAACAATCAGGGATTATAGTGCCAGTGATTCTGGTACGCCGCAAGGCGGGCGTCAGTGCTGTTTCGCATAACAAAGATGGAAGCTACAGTCTCAGCGACAAAAGACTAACGACCCTTGGTACAAGGGAGCACAACTACGCAATTGTATCGACAAAAGGTCGATTTGTGCCTCCAGTCCCCTGCGCTCGCGTGCAACCGAAGTTCGTCACCTTTTATGCCATTTTCAGCATTGACGTCAGGTTCTCGTAACCAGAGAAGCAAAAACCCGCCAGACACTGGACGATCGCAGCGTTGTGCCGCCGTCGCGCTTATCCCACCCGATGCTAGATTGGAGATGGGATTCGCTTGAGAAACTGTGCCGGCCACCGGTCAACTTTATAGACGAATTATGCGTGTCATGAAGCATACGTAAGGGGTGTGAGCTAGCTGTTGGTGTCATGAGCTGTGAGCTGTAAGCTGTGAGCTAGGTGCTGATAGTATGAGCTGTGAACTGTGAGCTAGGTTCTGGTGGTATGAGCTGTGAGCTGTGAGCTAGGTTCTGGTGGTATGAGCTGTGAGCTGTGAGCTAGTTGCTGGTGGCGTGAGCTGTGAGCTGTGAGCTAAGCGCTGGAGGTGCGTGCTGTGAGCTGTGAGCTAGGTGCTGATGGTATGAGCTGTCAGCTAGATGCTGGTGGTGTGAGCTGTGGGCTGTGGGCTAGGTGCTCCAAAATAAACTTTGCCTGGCGTACCCAGTTAATTATTCCTCTTGCGTGCGTAGACTATACGCCAGTTTTCCAGGTGCTTATTCAACATTCGGAAGATAGGTAAAATAATCCACCCTAATTTACCCCTTTTTTCTCCATATCGATATAAATCCCTACCGATGTTTATACCGTCGATATTTTACACGTCACCACTATCCGTTTTGATATTCAATCTGTCGTTTCTTTTTTGATCTCCATGGGGTGCTCGATATCTTGCCATTCGATAATCGAGCAGTCAATATTTTGTGGATTCCCGTCGAACCCCCGACGGCTGCTTGGGCTGCGGTGCGGTCGGCAGCTGCGCCGGTCTAAAAAAGGGGCATGTGATATGACTACTGCTTCTCGAGCAACACGGCAGAGTATTACTTAAACCCTCCACCTCTGATATTAAACGTGACTTTTAGTGGTGAGCGTCACTAAGTTATCATCCATAGAGTGACAGCAAGCCGGAAGGATGTAACCCGCTAGTGTTAGTTTTCTGACTTGAATGAAAATAAATTGCGGTAGCGTCAATGCCATAAAAAACAAATCATGAGCCATTAGTCCACACCCGTAGCTCAACCAGTTAGAGCGCCTCCCTCCGAAGCCACCAGTGGCGGGGTAGGTGAATTCGGCGCGCTTCGGCGCTCATTGTTTGCTCCTAGTTGGAATGGCCTGCGGCCGGTGACAGCGGCTACTCAAGGTCAGATGAGGTCAGAAGGCGGAGCGGACCAGGCCGAGCATTGCAGCACGTTAAGGCACGTTGAGCTTTCGCCACAAGTTCTGGCGTCGAACTGGAGTCTCACGATCGAGTGGCGGCGTCAGGGGCCCGCGTGGCACGCGCCGCTCAGCGTGGGCACTGAGCCCAGCATTCCAGGCCATAAAAATGCTTGGACCGGATGAAAAGAAAGGAAAACCTTCTCGGGGCTTCAGCACTCCCAATTTCGAGCGATGATAAAATGTTTATTTTAGTTAATATTGCTCCATTCATTGAAATGAAATTCTAGCGTTAATGTAACCACTTGAAACCCTTAAACAGGTAATCATTCCACCACGCATTTCAAAAGCTCACTTTAATGAATTGGCTTAAGGGGAGAGAAGCAATGTTACACAGCCAACAACTTCACCTGTATTACAAACGTGGCCACAAGTCGAGCGAAACTTGATGCCAACCAACCACACATTTCGTGGCTTCAGCGGTCCGGCCTAGCCTAATGACTAATGAGGATGCAGGAGCAAATAGCATTGCCTTTTATCATTACTTTGGTGCTCGCGACATAACTTCCGTTGGGTTGTCGCTGGGTAAGTCTCAGACAGGAATGACGCTTATGACAATGGTACTTTGTTCATCCGTTGTTTGATTGGTAGCTTTATAGCTGTCATTTTTCCACTATTTTCCCCGGGATCTACGCAGCATTATTACATTTTTATGGTTCTTGCAACTCACCTGTGGCATTAAACACAATTATGGGCATTATGGTAGTGCTGTATTCGAAGCCACCCTTCCCATCACGCACTTGCCAGTTTCTCAGTCCAAAATGTGTGAAGGACCTTTCTCTTCAGTGCTAGTTGGCGAGTGCCAGGCATTGGGACGAACGTACCCTTAGACCGAATTTCTCAGGAAACGAAACCCGCTTCAAAAACAAAAGGGGGATACATTCGGTCGATTAATTCAAATTAGGCCAGATTTAGGAGGCAGCAGGGTTGCAAACGCCCATAAAATTACACACTCCAAAGTTTGAGATCCATAAACACAATATTGGATCATGAGGCTGTTCGCAGCGGGTTCCAACACAAAGACTCCCAGACAAAATGTAGGAAAATGACCTTGGTTAGTTCGATAGTCAGAACAATTTAAAAACACTCATGGAGCGGAGAC